CTTCCCTCTAGTCTTTCACTGCTAAATTAGGGATGGCTAGCGCAGATAGCCCTCGTACAGCTTTGTACGAAATACAAAACAAACAAACAAACTCCTCCATTTGTGTAGTTGGATCTTTATTGAGCTGAGTGGATATTGTTTCATATAGGGAATTTAATAACCTTTTTTTCATGACCCTCTCTATTAAGAATTACAATTTTGTCTTTTGATGTGGCATTAAAATTGTAAGCATGTAAGCCCAGTAATTCAATACACTGACTTGTGTTTTAACATTACTGGAAATACTATTCAAAACTGGATAACTGCAGATGTTTAGATCCCTGAATAATATTTCAAATGGCAACAGAAAATAACCAAAGTTCCATTTCTTGGATGGTAAGGCAAGTTTCAGCACTCTGGCCAGTACATGTTTTTCATCATCATTTAGCTTATAATTTGATAAAATATTTGTTATCTCATCACGGTTATTATTGAAGGCATTTCCCAAGTGTTCTCCCATTAGTAAAGCAAATGTTTTAAGGTGGGTTAAGTGTGTTTCAACTGATAAGTTACTATTTTTAATATTAACCTTGCAGATGTGCAAAATATCTCTTAAGCTTACACTTTCAAGTAAATTTTGTTTATATGCAACCAATTGTTTTTTAAAAGCTTTATTGATTTTTCCTTGAATTTGATTTCTGCTGATAGAAGCTTATTTTTAACTTCCCTGTACTGTCATAATGTTTGAATTTGGTTGTTTTAATGTATACAATTTTGGAATAACCTGTAACACTTGACAATTACTTAAATATTTCTCATGCAATTTTTTTATGTATTTAATATATATTCGTTCATATTAACAAAAGGTTTCCTCAACTTTTACAGATCTCACTTCAAAAATCAATAACATTCTAGACACACTAGCAGTATGGTTCAGTTTTGGTTTTTAACTTATATATTAGTAGTTTCTTTGACCCATAGTTTTAGTTCCCTCTTTGCAGATCTAATTATTTTGAAATTTCCTGTTCTCATTGGTTTATTACATTTTATAATAGCATGGTACATTATACTTGATCCACCTTTGTTTTGGTTGTGCTGTAATACACTGATGAAGAAATTGAACTGTACATTCAGAGAACTGTTAGATTTCAAGTTTTACTTTCAATATATATAATTTTTTTTCCTGCATTGAGTCACTTGATTTTTGACATACTGTTCCTTAAATTCGTCCTTTGGTGGGTCAAAAGTAAGTTTATGGAAAATCCAGGGTTCAGTTCCTCGTAGTGGACAGAGTGCATATAAGTCCATTGTGTAGCTTTGTGCTGAAATAACAGTATCCTTTAAACAGGCAAAATAATAAAATTTCAATACACACAGTGCATCTTCAGTACATTGAATATGTTTGTCACAGTTTGATCTTAAAAGCTGATGAAAAATACAGCTCGGGAAAAGTATACTTTTTATTTTTTGCATTATTTTGAATTACTCTCAGAAAGTTCCTCCTGTAAAAGTATTTTTGTATTAATTTAATACATTATTTAAATTTTAAGTTCAGTAATTGCTGTTAATCTCACTACAGGTGTAGCTACATTTAAGCAAACTTTTTTTTGTACTGGGCCAGGCATGGCCTAGTAGTTAGCATGCTGGATTGCAAATCTTAGAGTCCATGTTTGTCACTTTGGAGGCATTATAAGAGTGACAGTCAATTCTAATTGTTCAGTTATAGTAGTTCAAAAGTTGGCAGTGGATGCTTCCTATATAGTCTATCAATTCAAAATCAGGGATGGCAAGTACAGATAGATGTTGTGTAGCTTTGTGCAAATTTCCAAAATAAACCAGACAAAATATCCTGTATTAAAAATAGCATATTCATCTAGTTGAAGAATATTTATGGTACTTCAGTTAAAGGCTCATTAGATCTCAGATTTTATTCTTATTTCACATCTGTAGTCACCACAGGACTCTAACTAACTGTAAACTGATTTTTATATTGGTATGAAACAGCATATATTTTATGGTTTGTATGCATTCGTAGAGTTATGCTTAATCCTAAGCGTAACTCTAAGAATGTCTTGTTACAACTATAATTAATCATGCTTCACCAGATCAGAAAAGGCATTCAGCCCGTAACAATTGTTGTTGTAAAAACCGTCTTATGTAAATGTGTTCCAACTGCTACTGTGTTTATGTCCCACTCAACCTGATGAGCTCTGGATTGAGTGAAATGTCATTAGCAATGGTTGGGGTGAACAAGGTGTGATTGAAATACTATTGTAAACTCTTCTCATTCTTGAAAATCCTAAAGGGATTAGATAAGAACTTATTATTAAAAAAAGGGCCTAATATTAATGTCTTATAACAAGTACGATTAATTAAAATTTAATATAGTATGTGATATGCTATTACTGAAAAGTAAGAAATTATATGTTGTTGAAATAAAGTGCACTATAGTTTTCTTGTGTGTTTCCTCAAGATTTTTTTTTATATTATCAGAATTTATGTTTGTAAAGAAAGTATTTTTTAATCCTATTTTTTTAGATTTAACTTATTTAAAGAAATTTTTAAATCAGCTATGTGATTTAATTTGCCAGTTTAGAACAATTTAAATAAAAATATATTCCAAACAAAGTAGGGAAGTATCAAGTATGTTTGACGTTCCATTGTTTGGATTTAATGAGAGAGAGAGAGAGTATTTGGTTATTTTTAAGAGGGTTTAGTTGACCATTTATAACTTTTATAGAAGCAATTCAGATAACAGAAATATAAAAAAATTATATTTTAAATACTGTAAAGAAAATATTTTTCTACTTGGCCAATGTATATTCAGTTTAACATGGATATAATGAACTTGGCAGATTGATGTATAGTTTTGGAAGAAATAGCTTTGTCATTTTCCTTGGTTAAAAGTTAACCATATTATTATGATGTAAAATACTTGTGTTGGCAAAGTGGTGACAATCTTTGTTCTATAAATGTATGTGGCTCTTTCCTTAATTTTGGTGTTTTGTATTTCACTTAAGAGGAAAAACTCTGTTCAGACCAAAATATGTGTGTGAATGTAAACCTTTTCTTTTTTTCCAGTTATAATGATCTATATGTGTAAATGTAATAAATGATTAAATTTGCAAAACTTGTGTAAAATGTGTTTAATAGTAATGAAT